AAGAAAGAAGAATCCTTTGTGATTTGAGGATTAAATATATGTATATTGAAAATCAAAATGGGCCAGGCACAGGGGCTCATGCCTGTAATTCCAACACTTTGGGAAGCCGAGGAGGGTAGATGACTTGAGCTCAGGAATTTTAGACCAGCTTGGCCAACATGGCAATACCCTGTCTCTACCAAAAATACGAAAATTATCCAGGCATAATGGCACGCACCTGTAGTCCCAGCTACTCGGGAGGCTGAGGCACAAGAATCACTTGAACCTGGGAGGTGGAGGTTGCAGTGAGCTGAGATGACACCACTGTACTCCAACCTGGGCAACAGAGTAGACTGTCTCCAAAAAAAAGGACTCCTGCCTCATAGCACAAAATAAAAGTAATTTCAGATGAATGAAGAAATAAAATATGAAAAGCAAAATAAAACCATTAAGAGAAAGTATAGGAAGTGAACTCAGGATATGGATTAATTTCTCTTAAAATTACAGAAAATGAAAACCATACAGAGAGTTATTAATAAATTCAACTACATTAAAAATGAGTACTTTTTCTTTCATCAAAAGACTTCACAAAATGGGAAAGAGAAGTAGATAAACAGTAGATATTTCCAGGAAGTATAATTGGCAAAGGATTAATATCCAGAATATGTAAAGAAGTTTTAATAATCAACTAAAAAGGCAAATGATTTGGGCATTTCACAGAAGAGGAAATACAAATTACTAATAAACTTTGCAAAAATGTGCTCAAACATTTTAGCAACCATAGAAATATGTATCAAAATCATTTTCAGCAAGTTGAAAATTTAAAAGTTGCACAATGCCAAGTGTTGATTAGTATGAGGAGTGACAGGGACTCTTGTGTACTGCTAATGGGAATGCATGTTACTGTATGTATTTTATGTACTATCACTTTAGAAAATAATTTGGCATCATCCATTAAAGTTTAATATACACAGCCCCAAAACTCAGCCATTCTACTTTTATGCATATGCACTAGAGAATTCTTACATACATATCACTATATAAGTACAAGATGATTCATAGCAGCATTATCTGTAATTATGGCAAAACAACCTAGATGTCCATTGACTATAAAAAGGAAAAAAAAACTGTGGTATAGTCATATCATGAAATCCTATACTGCCATGAAAATGAATAAACCACAGCTATATTCACATGTATGAATGGTTTTTGGGGTTTTTTGTCTTTTTTTTTTTTTTTTTTTTTTTTTTGAGATGGAGTCTCGCTCTGTCGCCCAGGCTGGAGTGCAGTGGCACAATCTCGGCTCACTACAAGCTCCGCCTCCCAGGTTCACGCCATTCTCCTGCCTCAGACTCCCCAGTAACTGGGACTACAGGCACCCGCCACCACACACAGCTAATTCTTTGTATTTTTAGTAGAGACAGGGTTTCACTGTGTTAGCCAGGATGGTCTCGATCTCCTGACCTCGTGATCTGCCTGCCTGTGCCTCCCAAAGTGCTGGGATTACAGGCGTGAGCCACCGTGCCCGGCCACATGTATGAATGTTTAAAACACAATGTTGGGTGGGAGAGGCAAATCACAGAAGGGCACTATACTCTGATTATTTTATATGTATTTAATTTTATATAAACTGACTATATGAATATGTCTGCCCCGTTAATATGAGCACTTTCCTGAACTAAGGAAAACTTGCAAAATATTTTCTCCCTAAGAGAAAAGGCCCTGGAAATCAGAGTTTAAACTTTCTGGCCTGAAATTATGTCTGCAGGGTAAGTTTTTAAACCATGAACAGATAAAAGTGGCTCCTCAGAGCATGTGCTATCTAGGGCGGGAGATTAGGGTGGGATCCTTCCCACTTAGCCTGCTGATTGGCCACCATTGCCCCTAGTCAAATCAGAAGATACAATCTGTCCCTCCTCCACCACACACAAAAAGCCTTTGAGATAATGAGAAAAACAATTGTAAGAGTAACTGTTATCACAGTAAGAGTAGCAACAATGTTATTTCAGGCATTGTTATTCATGTACACAGGTGTTCAATACCAAACCTTGCTAAATAGTCTGCCATGCTGTCAGCAATGCCAGCTGCCTAAGCCAAATCTAACAGAAAAGGCCTCCGACTGTATGCTTCTGAGAATCTTCCAAAGAAAAATCTCCTTGGCTGTCTGGAGCTCTGAGCCATTTCTGTCCGAAGGGCTGACTGATGGACTGAGCCAGTGAGAGATTACCATTCCCAACCTGCAGCCTCCGTGCTGCTGCACTTCGTCCTCCTACCTCACTCCACCCCGATACTTGGCTCAACCCCCACCCTGAAACTATAGCTTTATTCCCAGGAAGGCAGAAAAAAGTTATGCTGAAAGTTCAACACAATCATCACGTGGAGGTACCTGGCCCAGTGCAAGTTAACCTTGGAACTTTTATCCACATGTTACAATGTGCATAACAGCGGCTCAACCTCTCAGCAGACACAGCCATTCTGCCAGGGTTTTGGCACTGGGAGATGAATCAAAAACTTTCAACTGACTGATTTCTTTTCTTTTCTTTTTTTTTTTTTTTTTTTTGAGGTGGAATCTCACTTTGTAGCCCAAGCTGAAGTGTAGTTGTGCAATCTCAGCTCACTGCAACCTCCATCTCCGGGGCTCAAGTGATTCTCCTGCCTCAGCCTCCCCAGTAGCTGGGATTACAGGTGCACACCACCAGGTCTGGCCAATTTTTTTGTTGTCGTATTTTAGTAGAGATGAGGTTTCATCATGTTGCCCAGGCTGGTCTCGAACTCCTGAGCTCAGGAGATCTGCCCGCCTCGGCCTCCCAAAGTGCTGGGATGAGAGGCGTGAGCCACTGTGCCTGGCTAAGTGACCAGTTTCAAGAGGGGATCAGTAGTAGTTCCATTGTGACCAGCTTGCCCAATAAAGTTTAGGGGACAGTGGCTTTATGTTTTCACCATCAGACAAATACCTACTCAATGACAAGCAAAACTTTTGCCAGACAGTATCTTCTGAAAGAATTATCCTGCAATTATCCAAGGAAACAACCACTTAGGTCAATGGACATTTACAGAGTGAAAGACAGTGAATCTTCAAAGAGCAAACCCTTACAGAAGAGCAATGGTGCCTGCCTCAACCGTATGCTTATTGTCAAAAACTTCAATCCCTCTGTTTAGAAAAATTGGATAGGGAAAAATTCATTAACCCCAGAGAAGTAACTTAGTCCTATCTTTCACCCAATTTTTTTGAAATGATGGTATAGCCTACCTGATTGGGAGAAAAAAAAAAAGGAATGAAGCAACTAATAGTAAAAATACACAAATCTAGACCTATATGATCCAGTGATCTGGATAGGACCTTTATGATCTGTCAGCCGAGAAAGAATCAAAGCCAACTCTAGGAATTGCTGATAATTAAAAGGTAGGTGAACACAAAAGAATATTAGGAACCATTCTATGTGGCAAGACTGAAAAGAGGATATGACTTCTTAATGAATTAGATAGAAAGTGAGAGCCAAATCCGTGCATCATTCCAAGGTTGAGATCACAGAGGGCAGATGGACCCTAGGGCTCTTATTATACCTGAGAGGGGAGAAAGGGAAGATAACACACACAGACGAGCCTTTCAAAAAGGTTGGCCAAGAAAGAAAGGGAAGACCCCACATAAAAACAGGGGTGGAAGTAAAGTTTCCATTCAACAAGTCCTTTGATTCTTTTACACTGTTCTGTACAGCTATGCTAGTATCAGTATCTACTATTATCATTATTCTTTCATTAAAAGTTTGTGGAGTACCATGAAATGATATCTGTCCACTACTATATAAAAGCCCTGTAGTCCTCCCTTCACAGAAAAGAAACCGCTAATCACCAGCAGTTCTGTTAAAGACTGCAATAAAATTCAGGCAAGACATTTTTTCTTGATAACTTCATTTTTAGAATACTGTCTTTTCTAACCTGTAGAATTTTAAGGGACAGCCTATAAGCTCCTTTTCTTTCTAGCTGAAGAATTAGGAGTCTGAGACTGGGGAATTTGAGACTTCTTTAAGTCAATTTTGATCCTTGGTTTATTAAACTATTCATTTTAAAAAAAGGTAGCATTAACCTCTCACAGTAAATTGTGCCTGTCAAATACTTTGATACGATGTCAGTTGGCGAGTGAATGACACCGAGCCCCCACCCTCACTCCCAAGATTGAGTCAGCCCCAGTTACAAAGCTTGCTGGCAAGCAAACTGCCTGTCAAGTTTGCTAAAAAGAACAGCAAAAGTGGGAACAGCCAAGCTTGTACAATTTTGCAGTTTCTTTCTTTCTTTGGTATATTTTTAGGTTGCCAGGAATCGATTTCCTCTTCTCTGCTTTATAAGTTTCTATTCATAAGCCTGGCAATTTATTAAACTTCATTTTATTCACATAAAATAGTCACTGCTCTGGAAAACAGTGACTCAATAAAGCCGTCTTCTTCCCATACACCTGGACTTCTAGCCAGAGAACAAGATGCGGTGTGCACAAGTACCAATCAATGAAATGAAAAACGTTTTGTGAAAAACAAAATTTAGTCTTGAAAATCTGAACATTTCTTTTACAAGTCACTGATTGAAGGGATTTTGCAATCAAAATGAATCCAGGCAAACCCATGCTACTGGATTTTGATTAATTAAGCCAAAATCTGCACATCTGCGTAATGTCTAGCTCATAAGTGAGATGGGTTTAATCAGTGAGGAAAATGTGGTTTGGGGAAGAGGCTGCAGGTGGAGTTTGCTAACTAGCACATTTTATTTATTTTTCTCTTAGTGCATTTCTACTCTTTAGTAAGGTTATTATAATCCTTGGTTTTCTGGTTTCCTGCCCACTATTCATCTCTCCCACTAAAGATCTCCCACATGCCCTACATAACAATAATCAATTAAAATGCAGTAGTCAACCTGGTTGGCTGATGCTTTGCTTCATAGAGCAGAGATGAAGCTAGAAGCCACATTTTGTGCATTATGTCTATTCCTAGCATCGTAAAGAACCATGGTGAACCAACCAAGACAGCCATGTATACAAATAAACAAAATTACTACAAATAAAGAAAAATAAAGAGAGTGTCAGTGGAAGGATAAACAACTGCCTGTGGCTCTGTAATTGAGGCCTTACATACCCAAAAGAGCATTTAGCATTGAACTCTTCCAGTAGCCCTAAAATCCAATGTTATGACTTATTATATAAATAATAAATGACTTGAACTTTTAGCCATGGTGGTATTAACAGATTAGCAAATCCTCTCAGGTTAAAAAAATAATAACATATAAAGTTGGACAAAATTGTCGAAAATTGATGAAAGGTGATAAATTGAGATATTTATTCTTATTTTTTATTTTATTTTATTTTATTTTATTTTGCAGTAGTTCTCTCTTTATATAGACTCTGGTTCTAGAAACAACTCGCCTGCAGCCGGCTGGCTGGGCTATTTACAGGCCCATTGTGGGCTGTACCTTGGCCACCTCCCGGCACGGTGCTCAGCTGTGACGCCAAAATAAGTTAGGGCCGGCCAGGCAGGGCGGGGCCGGGCAGGGCAGGGACGGGGCCTGTACACACAAGTGCTGGGGGCTTGGGGCCTCAATACTGCCGAGGGCTGGGCCGGGGCTGTAAACACGGCCAGGGCGGCCCTGCCCACCCCTAGTGGTCAGTAACGACTGGAAGCAGAGCAGCCAGGCAAGTCCGGGAGGCTCAGGCCTCCGACAGGCGGCTCTGGATCCGGTCCACCCACTGCTGGACCGAGGGCACGTCCTGGGCACAAAAGTTGTAAACGAGACGTGTTGTCTTCACGTCAAAGAAGGCCTTCTCATCCAAGCTCTTAGGGGCACCCATGGTGGACGTGCCAGGTGCCACAGCCTCCACCTCCGCCAGGTCCATGACACCCTTGCACTCAGTGTCCACACGGTGGCCGTAGTAGCGCAGCTGGTGCTTGGTCTTGTCCAACATGAACCAGCGGGCCTTCCAAGGCTTCATGAAGGCCTCCTTCTTGTACAGAGTGCCCTCATAGGACCTGTTCTCACTCTCAGCTGTCTGGAACTGGCGGTACAGGGTGCTGGTGCTGCAGTGGGCAGCCTGGTGGGAGCCAGATGCGGTCGAGCCACTTCTCTGGTCACTCTCCAGGCTGAGGCTCAGGGTGGAGCCCAGGGGTTCCTCCTGCTGGTACGTAACCAGCGAGCAGCGGTGGTGGGGTGCAGGGGACGCTAGGAGGGAGCTAGGGGTGCCACGTCCATCTGGCCGGGCTTCGAGGCACTGTGCAGCCTCATCCGTTCCCAGGTGTCCTTCCAGCGCTCAGCGGGTCAGCCCAGCTCTGTCTCCAGCCTCTGCAGCTCCTCCAGCAGGCGTGAGATGGCGTCAGGCTGGGCTCCGAGGCAGCTGTGGTAGCAGGCCACACCATACTGCGCCTGCTCTGGGGAGTGCCTGCCTCAGACCATTCTTCCTTTGGGGCTCAGGGGGCCCCTGGGCCAGTTTCTGGTCATAGGGAGGGCCCTCGGCCAGCATCTCCTCAGTGTAGAAGTCCTATACCTTCAGATTGGACACATTGCTGTAGGTCCGCAGGACCTCTCTGTCCTCGGGTGCATGCATGTAATTGTGGAACATGGGTGTCCTCTTGCTCATCCCGTCCACACACAGACCTGCAAGGCAGCTGGCCGCTGCGCTGCCCCTTCTCTTACAGCAGCCCCAGCTCAATGTGCTCATAGTCAGAGTCCAGCAGGACGGTCCGGAAACAGCCGGACACATGGTGGTAGCCAAGGAACTTGAGGTAGAACTGGCTGAACTCAAACTCCATGAGGAACTGCAGGTGGACCTGGTGTAGGCAGTCCAGGAACTACAGGAAGATGGTGTGAAGCTGCTGCTCTGTCCAGCCAGAATGTGGTCTCTCCAGTGGCTGAAGCGATGACTGAAGGACAGCCACTCCTTCTCCACCAGCAGGCAGAACCCCTCCAGCATGCGGTAGAAGGGGTCTGACAGCAGCTGCACCAAGGATACCACCTGGGTGGTGATGGCCCAGCCGTCCTCCAGGCCCATCAGCACGGAGGAGCTTGAGTACAGGAGCTCCCCACCAGCACCAACACCTGCAGCAGCTTTAGATCTGAATCAGCCACTCCAGTCCTCCAGCAAGGGCAGGAAGGAGGCTAGGCTGGGCTCAGCAGCAGAGCAGCCTGGGACACATGCCTTCAGCAGCTTCTTGAAGCTAGTCTTCACCTGCCACTCCTGGAATACCTCAATGGGCACCAGCTCCCACTGCTGCAGGGGATCTGGCCTCACACTCTTGAGTTGGACTTTGTCCCGGAGGATGTAGAGGGCTGCTCGCTGCAGCCACAGGAAGTCCTGGTTGGGGGGCAAGGGGCACCCGTTGGCCTGGGGTGGGGCCAGCACGTCTCTGCCAGCTAGCCAGGTGCCCACATTGGCACCAAGCCCACTGCTGCGCCCACTAATCCCGACACTGCCCCCACTTACCTCGGGGTGCAGTCAGTCTGGAGGCTGAGGCTGCCATGGGGTTGGACAGTGTGGTGACCCTGGCTCTGGGGCTGGGAATGTGGCTGCCCATGTAGGCTGAGGAGAAGCCGCTAAGTGTGTTGCATCCAGATGCACCAGAGTAGCGGGGCATGGAGCTGACCACAGCCTGCAGGTACTACTTCTGCTCCACGCTACTCGAGTCCGCCTGGAACTGGCCTGGAGAAGGTGCGTTCTGGGCCTTAAAGAGGCCGACTACACCTATGCCATGCAGGCCCCCAGAACGCAGCAGTATTGCCTTGGACCGCCCGCTGCCCCAGCAGACCACAGGGAAGCAGTTCTGGCGGTAGCAGTGGGACACATGCTGCAGGGCATTGTCCTGGACACTCTGGGGCGTGATCAGCAGCCCCGGGTAGCTGCAGTAGATGGTATACATGCGGTTGACTGGAGAAATGCAGAAGGATTCAGACCTGACCCAGCTCAGGCGGCTGCTCAGGGTGCCCAGGCCGAGGTACTGGTAATCGCGGCAGCAAGTCCTTTCCACCAGGAGGCTGCTCATGGTCATGCGGTCTGAGGGCTTCAGGGCTGAGGACGGGGTCAGCGTGCTGGGCTCCAGCTCCTCAGACACTGAGATCTCGTCCTCCTGGTCCTCAGGGGGCTGGCCCCAGTGCTCCTAGCTGGGGGGGTTGTACTTCTTGCGAGTGACATGCTGCCGCCCAATGGTCTTCTTGGCGTTCTTAACCAGGTTCCAGGACAGGGTTCTGAGGGAAAGACCCTTGTTCTTGGTGACACGGGGTGGCCTGCCCAGTGTGTAGGCAGATCCCAGGGTGAAGGAGAAGGTGGCCCTGACATCCAGTGTGTACCACAGCTTATGCAGCTGCTTGCAGAAGGGTTCGACACTGTCAGACCCCACCTTGTCATCAAAGGCCGTTTTCAGCAGTTGGAATGTGCAGGAGCGCAGCTGCAGCCCATCCTGCAAGAGCTGGTCCACAGGGGTCTGGACGCTGATACACTTCTCCTTGGTCAGCGTGGCCACCGGGAAGGAGCGGAACACCACCTGCTCCCCCACCAGGGGGTCTGTGAGCATCCCTGTGAAGATGACGTGGTACGTGATGAGGAAGACAGTGCCCTCAGCTGGGAGCAGTGCTGGCCCCCCTGCACTGCCCCCGGCACCCTCCTCACGCCCATCCGGTAGCAGGTAGACACGCAGGCTGTCCAGCACACACTCCTCACCAGACAGCAGGCACGGCCTCAGTAGCTTTGGTTTCTGGGTGGACATCAGCCTCCAGTTCTTCCGCCGCACAGCCTTCAGGGTCTTGATGTGCATCTGGATGATGTCTGACACCATGACATGCAGCCCCTTGAGGTGGTCACTGGTGACCCCACTCTCTGTGCAAACCTTGTCCACAAAGCGATTGATGAAGCAGAACACAGCCCCAGCTACATTGCAGGTCTCTGTGTCCTCAAAGCCGCTCCCCGTGTCATAGCTCTTAGCCACACTGCCAGCCATGCTGTTGGGGACCAGGCTGTTGCTGGTGCTCTCTAGGTCACCCAGCCTGGGAGCTCCTGAAGCAGGAGGCTCTTGCTGCTGTCCAGGGGCAGCAGGAGGTAGCTCATGCGGTTGGCATAGTGGATGGCCTGGCTGAACACCATGCTCTCCTCTTTCTGCATCAGTTCCTGCTGCTTCTCACCGCTCAAGGATGGCCACAGGCACCACTGCTCAGAAGCCACGTCTAGGGCAGAGTGCTTGCTCGTCCTCCTGGGAAGGTGCCTCCCCAACCTCCTGGGCAGGGGTCTGGTCCTTAGTTGGCTCCAGGTAGAGGGCCCAGATTTGAGTCTGCGTGTCCCAATAGAACATGGCCCCCCAGAATTCTGGCATGCTCCACACCACGTGCTCCTGCACACAGCTGTAAGAGAACTGCCTCACCCCTCCGGCTCAGCTTCCAGCTTCGTGACCAGAGGCAGCAGAGCAGCCAAGATGTCATGCTCGTCCAGAGAAGTGCAGTCCTGCAGGCAGCAGTTCATCATATGGATGACAAAGTCAAACTGCTGGTTGTCCAGGACCGCCCAGTTCTGCTGCACATACAGGTGCAGCTCCTGGGTGAGGCAGCAGCGGGCAGCTCGCCTCTTCAGGGCCCTCAGCACGGCTGAGAGCAGCTTCTTGGCCTCAAGCATCTTCCCCTCAAACTCACGGGAGATGCAAGTGCCCACAACCTCTGGCCGGCCAGCGCTGTTGACTTGCAGCCTACTGCACCGATCCAGTATGGCAGTCATGCGGGGCCCTGAGGGCCCTGTGGTCCTCCTTTCAGCCTTCATGGCTAGGTGTGCCCCTTGCATCTTGGCAGTAGCCTGGTCCACGATCCGCTGCATGGTGCCCTCATCCAGCTAGGGGAAGGGCTGGGGCGCCCATCGCAGATGGCTGCTCTCACCCGCCTCTGTACCTTGTGCATCGCCAAGTCTGGGTACAGGTTCTCATTCTTGTAGAGCTGCTCTGCCAGTTCCTGGATGTGACCCAGGACACACTGGGGGTGGTTCTCATCCGCCCGCCTGCATGCCACCTCGTGGGCCACCAGCTCATCAAACAGTTCCGTGGGGCGGTACGGGACCCCACGCTCCAACATGAAGAGAGCAAAGGCCATGCCCTCCAGCACCTTCATCAGAAAATAGTCCTCCACCAGCCCACACTGGCCCAGGAAGGCTGCCTTATGGAAGTGGACGACAGGCTCCGGGTGAATGCGCATGACATGCAGGCACCAGAGATAGCCCTGCAGCAGCCGATCAAAGAGCCGCCGGAAGATGGCATGCAGCTCTTTGTCCTGCATCTTCAGGGAGGAGGGGACGTCGTGGGTGGAGGGAAGGCAAGGTTAACCAACTCCAGCTCCAGGTCCAGGACTATGCTCAGAACACTGTGCGTCTGACTCTGCAGTGGCTCTAGCAAGGGTGGAATGTGCACACACTCAGGGATGGTCACTCTCCCTCCATCCAGATCAGCAACGATCACATCTAGCAGCTCCTGGTCTCTGCCTAGAGGGCCGCGTTGACTCCAATGATGAAGCGCATGGGTGTGCTGAGGACCTCCAGCAGCTGGGCCAGCAGGATGGGCACATAGGTGAAGCTGTATCTGAGGGGAAACAGCAATGCCAGGAGGCCCCTGCAGGCATCAGCAAGCTGCTGGTAGCTAGGGGACAGGAAGAGAACCTTGTGCTCTGTGAGGGCGACACAAGACAAAGACAGCACATTGGTGATGTCCAGCTGGCAGAAGAGCAGAGCCACGCTGCAGCTGCTGATGGGCAGCGAGTCGGCCAGTGGAGTCTGGATGACCTGCCGATCACCAGCCCCCAAAGAGATCGTCCTCTGCGAGCCCCCAGCCAGGGGCACGGTGCACATCAGCAGGTTCCTAATTACATTCCCTGGGAACACATTCAGGCCCTCCACGTGGATGGCATAGATGAGGCCAAGGCCGTACCTGAACACCTGTGTGGTCAAGTCGCTACACCAGCACCAGCGTCTTTGGGGCAAACATCTGGGCATATGGGGCAGGCTCTGTGGGCAACAGGTGCGTCTGGCCTCCCTCATCCTCCTCTTCCTCCCTTTCTGTGGCATCCTCAGCACGCATTGTTTCCTGCTGTGAAGGCTCCACCCGCTCCCAGAAGGTCAAGCAGCGCAGTAGTGGCGCTCAGAGTTGATGTCGGTGAGGACAGCAACAAAGGTTGGTGTATTCCTCTTCAGAAAAATTAATCAGAATTCAGAGTTCACATAATATATTATCTAAAATTTCCCTTTTTGGGCAAAACAATTACTAAGCATGCAAATAAATAGGAAAGTATGATCCATACTCAGGAAAAAAAGTAATCAATAGAAATTGACTCAGAGTAGCAGCTGGGCACAGTGGCTCAAGGCTGTAATCCCAGCACTTTGGGAGGCCAAGGCAGGTGGATCACCTGAGGTGAAGATTTTGAGACCAGCCTGACCAATATGGAGAAACCCTGTCTCTACTAAAAATGCAAAATTAGCCTGGCGTGGTGGCGTGCACCTGTCATCCCAGCTACTCGAGAGGCTGAGGCAGGAGAATCACTTGAATCTGGGAGGCGGAGGTTATAGTGAACTGAGATTGTGCCATTACACTCCAGCCTGGGCAACAAGAGTGAAACTCTGTCTCAAAAAAAAGAAAAAAGAAAGAAAGAAAAGAAAGAAAGAAAAAAAAAGAAAAAAAGAAATGGACTCAGAGTAGATCTAGATGATGTATTTGGCAAACAAATAATTAACAAAATGCATGATGTCTATGATTCAATAAATAATCTTTACAGAGAAATAGAACCCAAATATTGGAAGTGAAAAAGAACCAAATAGAAATTCCAGAGTTGAAAACTATTTTCAATATAAAGATTTTGCTTGTTGTATCAACAGCAAATTTGAGATTAGGGACGAAAGAAGCAGTAAACTGAAATATAGTTCAGTAGAAACATCTCAATTTGAAAAGTACAGACCTTTTTTTAAATAAGGTCAGAGGCATGTGGGGCAATGTTAAGCCTACCAACATATGTGAAATAAGGGTCCCAGAAGTAAAAAAGAGAGAGGAAGGGGAAAATCATTTATGTGAAAAAATAATAGCTAAAATCCTCCAAAATTTGATGAAAGGTTGTCTACAAATATTAAAAGCTCCACAAACCCAAAATAGGATAAGCATATCAGAATTCACATCTAGACACATCATAATCAATGGCTGAAATACAAATACAAAGAGAAAATCTTGAAAAAAGTAAGAGAAAAAATGACTCATCAGGTATGGAAAAAAAATATGACTTTCATTGGCAATAAAATCCTCTGCATTTACCATCTTCAATTCGTTCATGCAACCTGATTCCTCCTGGATGCTGGACAAGGTCCCAGGTGTGGGTGCAAGAGGCTGTCACACTGACCCTCCACTGAGCTGTCCAATACTTAAGCCATCCACAGGTGGCAAAACTAAAAGAGCACACTGTAACGCATGCCCTCTGGGGCTCCAGGGGTCATGGGCAACTCCTAGACACTGCCACATGGAGTTCTGCTCCTGCTGACTTAATAGCTGACTTATCACTATAAACAGTGAAGACCAAGAAGCAGTAAAATGACATATTCAAGTGCTGATTTCTTTTTCCTTCTTTTTTTTTTTTTTTTTTTTTTTTGAGACTAAGTCTTGCTTTGTCACCCAGGCTGGAGTGCAGTGGAGCAATCTCCTCTCACTGCAAGCTCCGCCTCCCAGGTTCATGCCGTTCTCCTGCCTCAGCCTCCTGAGTAGCTGGGACTACAGGCGCCGCCACCACGCCCGGCTAATTTTTTGTATTTTTAGTAGAGATGGGGTTTCACCGTGTTAGCCAGGGTGGTCTGGAGCTCCTGACCTCGTGATCCGCCCACCTTGACCTCCCAAAGTGCTGGGATTACAGGATGAGCCACCGTGCCCGGCCATGCTGAATATTTTTAACTTTCAACCAAGAATTCTGTGTCCATTGAAACTATTCCCCAAAAAATAAAAGCAAAATAAACACATTTCCAAGTAAACAAAAACTGAGAAAATGCATTACTAGAAGATTCGACCTAGAAGCATCACTAAAGGAAGCAGTTTAGGCTTAATAAAATATTCCCAGCACCTTAGGCTTAATAAAACATACCCAGATAGAAACTAAAATTCATGGGGAGAAATGAAAAGCACTGGAAGTGGTAAAATGTAGGTAGATTGAAAGACCCCTTTTCCACTTAATTTCCTTTTGAAAATAGACATTTTAAACGTTATTGTAAAGTTTTATTGTTAAGTATGTTATACATACACACAGAGTTAGGTTTATGGATATGTATGTTTACTTATTTATGACACTAATAACTCAAAGAAGAGGAAAGAAATGGAACTATATTAAAGTTGCTGTATTTTACTGGAATTATGTTAGCATTAACCTGAGGTAGAGCTACACACTAAAAATCATAAATCATCACTGTGAGAAATTTAAAGATCTAAATGAAAGGAGATGTACCATGCTCATTGATTGAAAAACAATATTGTTAATATGACAGTTCTCCCCAGATTGATCTATAGCTGAAACTCAATCCATATGAAAATTCCAGGAGCATTTTTTCATAGACATGGACAAGCTGATTAAAAAAAAAAAAAAAGTATATGGCAATGGAAAATACTTAGAATAGCCTAAACAGGTTTGAATAAGAAATACAAATTTGGTGAATGTACATTTGAAATGAGATCATTCCCTTGATCCCTTCATGAGATTTGTGAAGGGATTGGCTTGTTTACTCAGCCCACAGGTCTCAACCCCTCATGGGAGGGGAAGCACGCAGGTGAGTGGGTGCAGAGGCTAGGATGAGTGCTTCTGGGCAACCAGCAGGAGCAGAACTCCATGTGGTCCCGTGGCAGTGTCTAGGAGTTGCCCATGACCCCTGGAGCCCCAGAGGGCATGCGTTACAGTGTGCTCTTTTAGTTTTGCCACCTGTGGATGGCTTAAGTATTGGACAGCTCAGTGGAGGGTCAGTGTGACAGCCTCTTGCACCCACACCTGGGACCTTGTCCAGCATCCAGGAGGAATCAGGTTGCATGAACGAATTGAAGATGGTAAATGCAGAGGATTTTATTGCCAATGAAAGTGGCTCTCAGTGGGATGGGGAGCTGGAAAGGGAATAGAGTGGAAAGGTGGTCTTCCCCTGGAGTTCAGCTGGGAATATCCCCAGACAAACTCTTCTCTGAGGTCCCACCATCAAGCTGTCCCTCTGAAATCAAGCTGCTTCTCACTGACATCAAGCTGCTGCTTCTCTTCTCTGCTGCGCTGCTCTGCCCCTCTGCCAGTAGCCTAGGGTTTTTATGGGTGCAGGATGGGGAGTAGGGTAGGTGTTGGTGGTTTTGGAAAAGGCAATATTCAAGTGGGAAAACAGAAATGCACATTCTCACTTTAGGTCACAGGTCCAGGCTTGAGGGTGGAGCCCTCACCAGGGACCCCACCCTTTTCTACCTAGTACCTCCTGTTCATATCACACCGACTAATTTTGATACCAACCATAAAGCTACAGTAATCAAGAGTGTAATAATACTGGAGTAATAAAGACAGGCAAATAAATCAAAGGAACAGAATATAGAGTCCAGAAATAAACTCTCACCTTTATGGTCAATTGAGTTTTGACAAAGGGACCAAGACAATTCAATGGAAAAGGAGAGTGGTTTCAAAAATGATGCTAAAACAATTGAATATTCATAAGAAAAAAATGATCATAAATCCTTGGCTTATATTAGACACAAAAACTACTCCAAAATAGAACATAGACCTAAATGTAAGAGCTAAAACTATAAAATTTTAGAATACAACAGAAGAAAATCTTTCTGATCTTAATTTAGGCAAAATTTTATTTGATTGGATACCAAAAGTGTGACTCATTAAATAATATAATTGGAAATTGAACTTCATAAAAATTTAAAAATTCTGCTTTTCAAATGCCAACTTTAGAAAAATAAAGAAAACCATAGACTGAAATAAAATATTTGAAAATAACATATCTAATAAAGGACTTGTATCCAGAATACATTAATAACTCTTACAATTCAATAATATATCAAACAATTCAATAAAAATGATAAAAGTTCTGAACAGACATTTCACCAAAAAAAAAAAACCAAAAAACCACATACACAGAAATTGCTCACAAGCTCATGAAAAGATACTAAACATCTTTAGTAATTAGATAAATGTAAATTGAAAGCACACACCCACTATAATGACTGCAATAAAAAAGACTGACAATACCAGGTGTTGGTATGAATGTGAAGAAACTAGAACTCTTATCCATTGCTAGTGATGAAGTACAATGGTACAGTCACTGTAGAAAACAGTTTTATGGGGTTTTTTTTAAGTTAAATATTAATAATATTAATGTATGACCCAGTAATTCCATTCCTAGGTATCTTCTCAAGAGAAATGAAATATATCCATACAAAGTTTTATCCACAAATATTTCTAGCAGAATTATTCATAATAGCCAAATACTAAAAAGAAAAAAAAAAGTCTATCAACTGGTGAATGCATAAACAAAGTATAGTATATTTATACAATTGAATACTATTCAGCAATACGAAGGAATAACAACTGATAGATACAACAGTAAAATGAACCTAAAAAATCTGGTAAATAAAAGAAACCATACAGAAAGACTCCCTATTGTATTACTCCCATTACACGAGAATTCTAAAAAAGGTAAAACCCCAGAAACAGAAAGCAGATCAGTGGCTGTCTGAAACGGGATGGAAGTGAGAATTGACTGCAAACAGGCATGAGGGATTTTGGAGTGATAGAGTATTCTTAAATCGGATTATGACATTGGTTGTGCCACTGAATACATTTTTTCAAAATCATTGAATCATGTGCTTAAAACAAGTGGATATTATGGCATTAAATTATGCATCAATAAGGCTGTTTTAAAAACCAATAGATATTTATCAAAGAAAATAAAAACAAGAAGTATGGAAAAGCACATTCTTTACCATCTTACTATCCATATAATCAGTTGCCACTTTGGTTTAAATCTTTCCACATAATATATGATATACCAGAATGTGTTGAATCAGTCTACTATGACTGGAGTTTCAGGTTGTTTCTAGTCTTTTATCAGTAAATGATTCTAAAATAAACATCCTTATACATATATTTTTTATTTGGGTATCTGATTAATACCTCAGGATAAATTCTCAAGATTGG